CATGGGAGGTTTACAAAATGAAAAATGAAAGAGAATGCAGCAACAACAACAAAAAAAAAAAAAAAAAAAAAAAAAAAAGAAAAAAAAGAAAAAAGAAGAAAGAAAAAAAAATGATGAAAGGGCTAAGGCAGAAAACAGTTAATGAAGCAGTAGAGGCTTGAAAGCAGTAATAATATTTTTGGTTCTAAATATGTGTTTAGGAAGCCAGAAAGCACAGCATTGCTCTGGAGTGGAGGACATGTGGGGCTCACTGTTGGTCAGTATGCTGATAGGGACAGTAATGACAGTAGGTAGTTCATTTCTGGCCTATGGAGGCTGCCCATGCACATCAATGTTGCTGCATTTTTTAATGGTATGACTGTTTTGCAATCTTTGTTGAGCATGCACTTAGATCTTGCTGCTTTGCCTTAATGATGCAGTTGTTCTTAGATAATTACTTCATTAAGTTTAAATTCATGGAATTGAAACCCTGTTTTTAAAAGTAGGAGTACAGATTCCAGCAGACCTGAGCTGCTTTGATTTGAGTAAATCCCATCTGTTTGTCACATCTCTGAGCCTAAGCCTCGGCCCTCAACAGGTTTTCAGAACCCACAGGTGAGGGCACATTAGAACAGTCTTGGCAGGCTCTGAATTAATAGGAAAGTGGGGGGAAGCGGTTTGTGACTCAAGCCCTTTATAGCCTGAGGACAGTTTAGTCTTTCACACCAGTAAAGCACTCCTGCTGTTCCAGCAAAGGATGCGAGAGAAAAGAGAATTGCCCCGAGCCAGATGACAGCTCACCTAAGTGCGAAAATCTCTGACCTTTGCTAAACCTGAGCAAACTCAGATGATGTGCTTTTATTTGAGGTGTATGAAGTCTGTGTGTGTGTGTGTACCTTTTCTCCAGAGCTTTTCAGGATGGAAAAGCTGCACCTTTCAGGATGGAAAAGCAATGGCTGTTGCCATGCTGCTGATTGAGGCTTAGGAGCCTCCTAGCTGTAACTTTGTCCTAGTGTGTCCAACAAGTCTGTTTAAGCATGTGTTTTAAGGAGAGCAGAATGTGAAGGTTTCTCTGTCGAGGTTTACTGGCTGGGAAATCTGCTGAGGTTAAACACACACACTTACTGTGTCTCCATTTGCACCTGAGCAGCACAGGGTTCCATTCCAGATGACAGTGCTGTGCATCAGGCAGGGCCCTGGTCATAGAATCATAAAATCATGGAATCCTTGAGGTTGGAGAAGACCACTAAAGATCACTAAGTCCAACCAGCAGCATATCACCACCACACCCACTGACCATGTCCCTCAGTGCCCCATCCACACCTTGGACACCTCCAGGAACGTGAACCCACCAGCTCTATCAATAACCTGTTCTAAGGTCTCTCCACTCTTTCTAGAGAAGACATTCTCCTAATATCCAACACTCTAGGACATACAAGAATGAATCCTGAAGTGTCCATTACCTTCTGAGTCCATACGTTTATAAGATCAGGTCCCAATTAGTTCACAAAGTATCCAGAACATCACATAATAGCAACAATACCACTGGCCCATAAGGGACACTTCTACAAGTTCATTCTTCAACTTTTGATAGAATGAAATGGCACTCTTTCCAAAAAAGCTTGAAAAGAATCTTTCTGAAAGAAAAAGCAAGAAGTTTCCAGGCAAGAACGGAGGAATGAAGTTTGGTTTTGCCTTGAATTACCAATATTCTTGTGTGTTAGAGTGTGTACTGTTGGAGTTGATATCTGAACTGCCCAGAGGTCTGAATATGAACTCTTGGTACCTTTACAATATAGGCAGTTCATTAAACTCTGTGCAGATACAGTTCTACAACACACCAAAGCAAAGCTCCTACTACCTGCAGAGCACTATTTCTGATGCTTCAAAGCACACCGGTCGCTGAGCTGTGTGTACCTGTGGAAAATACATGGAGATGAAAGCAAAGTAAGGCTGCAGCAGTTTAAATTTGCAACAGGTGTAAATGACAAGTGGAAGCTGCTGACATTCAGGGCCTTTGTGCTTCAGCAAAAATATTTCCAGTTGGAAATTACTGTTACAGGAAAAAATCCAAATAGCGTATTCCCTATAGAAGTCATTGAGACTGTATTTTCTCTTTTTATTTTTCTTTTTTTTCCATGACTATAATGTTTCCAGATCCATGGAGTTTCTGTAGCTCTGTTTGTGTAATACTGAAACAGCTCCTGAATGTTACTTTATCTTTACCCTTTGTGAGGCAGAAACACAGAATTATCCCAGGCCATAGATGGACACAAAGAGATGCAATGATTTGCCCACGGTTGGCCAGGCTCTTGGGATAGAGCATCCAACACCCATTCAGCTTTCATGCAGTGCAGAGTAACTGGCTGTCTCTGGATCATCCCATAGTTTATTCTTATGACTTCCATATCATGCCGTTCTCCATTGTTGTATACCCCCTACACCTTGTGTCACACACTCTTTCACAGTAATAATTTGAATATTAAAACGGGTAAAATGTCTTCATGATATGTTGGCTCTGTTTCCTTAGAAGGATGTGAATATCACAGTTCAGACAGCTCTGCTCTCCAAATTCCTGTAGGCTTAAAGTATAAGCAAGAAGAAAGGATTCATAGAATTCAGGTCCACACCCAGATTCAAATCTGTACCATGTATTCTGAAAGAAAAAGGGAAGTAGGAATCTGTCGTTTCTCTTCAACCTTTATGGAAATTAGTTTGCACTGGCACAGAAGCCACCTGAACTTGGCTGTGTGTCTGTATCTCCAAACGGATGTATGACCATTGGAAAATCAACTTATTAACCCCACTAAGTGGATGTATATGGCCCTGAAAAATATTGCTCATGGGTTTTGATCTGAAGGGATAAAGAGTGGAGTGGAAGGGGCACAGAGAAGTATGTTGTCAGGAAAAAAGCATTTTCACCATGTTTGCATGCTACCAAGACATGGTAAAAAAAATAATAATAATAATAAAATGCAAGCCAGTATCCCAGCTCCCTTTTTGCACATACCCCTTTTAATTCTGATGATTTTGGGAGACAACTCCCCAGCAACCTGCAGAAGGGAATCGCCTGAGAGAGCTTTCTCACATTCACGTCTGGCTGCCCCTCTGTGCAAGCAGGGCAGCAGGCCGGGAGAGGCTGGAATGCAGCACAGTGCTGGGGCATGAGCCCAAAGGGCCGGGGTCGCTGGGAGACCTTCGCATCCCGGCCTCTGCTGCCCGCATAGCATGCATACCCACACACGCCAGCGAGTCATATGCACTCCTTTTATTTTTTTTTTTCTGTTTGCAGCTGGTCTATTTGATCTCTATGTGCCTGGACTGTTTGCTGTTGTGAGTGTCTTGCTGTGATCAAAACCTTATTATCTTGGGTGATGTTGTAGCGTTATGTATTGGAAAAGGGCAGTGGAGTATAACAGCAAGCAGCTGCAATGCTGGGCAGATAACAAAGGCACTAATAACCTCTCTCCTGTGTACTTGCACTGCTTCAGCTGGATGACTGGGTGTCACTTTGCTTTTAATGCCAATGGACTTTTTCCACAGCTACTCCC